TTTCTTCCAGACTACGGCGCATTTAAGTCGGTACACAGCAATTTCCGAATGTTGTGTAGATATTTAATAAGAGACGTGAAGCTCAAGAAAGGAGCGTTTACATTAGGTAAGAAAATATTCAATCACAGATCGGATAAGTGTTTTCTCCTCTGTATTTCTCAATTTTGATTCAAAATGTGATTGGTACCAGACCCCAGAGTTAGAGTACGATAGGTTGATGGCGAGTATTATTGATAATGTAACCACAGACGTATTACACCGAGGTTACTCATTAATATTATCCAATTCGTTGATGCAGCACTATTATGGGACCTTTCCTAGTCAACCTGTTCAATTAAGCCTATAACAGGGAGGTTATATATAAGGGTTAGCATTCGACTATGGTCTAATTCTTCAGTTCATGGTGAATGGAAGACCAACAGTTATATGCTCTTTTAAGCTTTTTCTTAAGTGCCATTGCACGGAAAGAACGACCGATTTCCTTCTGCGATGCTCAATCGATGTTCGAACTTTAGGCTCAATTTCATATGTGTGGTAGGGGCAACGTATCTATCCAGATTCCCAAAATTTTTTGACTAGACAATACTTCCTTTTGGACTTATAGCATTTTTCGTAAAAGCCCTAAAAACTGCTAGAAACAGCATGTACAGAAAACTGCATTTTGCAGCCCTCATATTTCGGTCTACGCAACAGAGCTAGAGCTCGGTCTTGCAGCATAAGTAGTATACGTCAAATACTACCGGTACTCAAAAACATGTGTGGATTTGGCCTTCGCACGTGTGCGGAATCGTACCTGCAAAAGTGGAAAATATTAATAATGGCCGTACTTTTTGACTAAAGTCTTTTATGAAAAGTTAAATTATTTGGCTAAACACGGGTTCCACTGCACATAACACATGTTGCTCTACTCAAATTTATAGTTTTGATCTGAAAAAGCTAGTTCACTATGGGTGCAGGCCATTTCAAAGTTCAGAGAAAGTGAAAATGGAGCATTTTAAAAATAAAGTTTTTATGTCCGAACCCACTTGTTATATAAATCGACATAGTTAATCGTAGAAAGGGCGCAAAAAAGATAATTAAAATTAACAAATTTATACTAATTAGAAGTCCAAAGAGCCAAAAATCGTTTCCAATTGCCTCTACATTCAACTGAATTAGAGTGAAAATCGACTGAGTGAAAATAGCAAAACGTGGAATAAAAACAATTGGATGTATTGAAATTTTTGGCTAAGGTTTTCCGAGTGTTTTTAATACTAATTCTTTTTCTTATAAATAAGAAAAATATGAAGAAAATATAAAAACCCGTTGTCTATAGTTTCAAAATGTATATGTAATACTCGTTGATGAGGAAGTACAAGAAAATGAGTATAAAATAACAACCGTCTAACGATAAATTGAAAGTTAAAAGTAATAAAAAGAAAAACCAACAAGTATTTATTGTGTATGATCAGAGAAATTTCTCACTTGTAATTTTAATGTCCTAATGAATAGTAAATAATAGAAGAGAGACATTTATTCTGTTACATATGATGTTAAAGATATCTTAATACTTCCAGGATCATATAATAATGAACTGTAACGTCTATCCACTGTTTTTAATCTCATTAACGACACTATGACAGCTTAAGGATACCCTCCCTCTCTTTTCACCTTCTTGGAAATCGCGAGTGGAAGTCTGATTGAGTTCAAATTCATACCAGAGATCGATATATTTTTGTCCAGAATTTTCTAACATATTGTTCTATAGATGTTCATTGGAGTACATTATGATCCTCCGAAAATTTCATCCGATCGGGTCCAAAATTTTACCACAGGTACCTGGTACAATATCTGAAAACTGTAATTTTTCTTTTTCGTTTTTTTGATTATTTCTTTCCGAGTTACAGGATTTTCAAAATCAAAATCTTAGAAGTTTACCTAGCGCTTTTACCATTTTTTTATATCTCGAAAAGGATAGCTCAAAAACAAAAATTAAAGTTCTGAGGTATTGTTTCAGGTACCTGTGGTAAAATTTTGAATCCGATCGGATGAAATTTTCGGAGGATCATAATGTACTCCAATGAACATCTATAGAACAATGTGTTAGAAAATTCTGGACAAAAATATATCGATCTCTGGTATGAATTTGAACTCAATCAGACTTCCACTCTCGATTTCCAAGAACGTGAAAAAAGAGGAAAGAGACCCTTAAATTCTTGACATATTTAATAATCTCATTTTGTCAAATATTAAAAGAAAAGAAAAGTTTTTGTTTCAAATCAGAAATAAGTGCAACAGAACGTGATAGTTTTCTGTACTTTTCGTGACAGCGACTATTGTCTTACATGATCAATTAACATCGGCTTTGTTGATTTTCTGACAGCTACAAATTATCAATAAACCGCCAGGTTTTCTATTTTTGGCTCATTCAGCCGAAATCTGTCTTACAAAAATGCGATTTACAAGAAAACCGAAACACCATATTTTATTACAAGAATCAACCTACCCTACAACACGTATAATAAGAATTCGACAACTTGAATAAATTGTTTGTTGTCTGTTAACGGTACTCCATTCAGAAAAGATAACTGATTGTTAAGATAACAATAGTTGACTCTCTCGTTCTAGGATTTAATTGAACTAGCTATTCAGACCATCTAGCCTTTATAAAAATTATTAGATCTTATTTCGTTCCTTGCAGCAGATAAAAAACCGTATCATCTTGTTCTTCAATTGATTGGCAACTTCTCCAACAAAATTTGTGTAATATATGACAGTAAAACATTGAGTGCCATCAACGATTCATCCTACGAAGATAATGTGAACGAGAAACTATGAAAGAAAAAAAAATACAAACGCACTGTTAACGACCATGATTTTACTATTTAAGATAAATTGACGAAAATCTAACGTTAGTTTCAGTTAAAATACAGTCAATTTATTTTGAATGAACAAAGGTCTTTATTTCATCCAGAATTTTGAAGTTAATAAATTAGACTTTATAAAAAAAGCCTATCTCAAAAAAATTCAGCATTATCTATTCTAAATTCTGCAGTTTCCATGTGTTGTTGTTTAAATATGTTAACAGTTTACTTTTTGGAATCATACTTCACCCACATATATGAACTGTAACAAAAATAAACATGAAAGAACTAGATAAGATAGGTAAGATAAAATTTTATTTTACTCAAGAGCAGGATATCACAAAAAAGAACAAAAGACTTGTGGCATCCGTGGATACCCTTTGATAATCTAAAACTAAAACTTTAAAAATATAAAAAAGTAAACAAAATAACATTTGTTACCAGCATATTTTTAAATGTGGCTAAAGAAGTTTGACAGGCTAAAACAGAAGGTAGTTCATTCCAATCTTTTGATGTTCGCGGAAGAAAAGAGCTAGATGCAGATTTTGACATTAAACGAGGAATAAACACGCGACTGTCATGGCCTAATCGAGAACTTTGATGCATCGTTAACGGTGAAATCAGATCAAAAGAGGAGAGAGGACTTTTATGATTGAAAATTTTATAGAAATAGAGAAGGCAATAATATAGACGTCTGTTTGAAAGTGGTTGAATTTTAAATTATTTGAGTAGAGAAGAACTACTAATATCTTGTGAAATGATCCTACTAGCAAGGTGCTGAATTTTATCCAAAATTTCAAGATGAGAAGGAAAATTGGAATCGTAGATAACACAACCGTATTCAAGCACGGTTCTTACACAAGTTCTATACAGATAACAACGAAGATATGAAGGCTCTTGAGATAGAGCCTAACATTTGACGAGATTTCATTGACACATATTCAATGTGAGCCTTCCACATTAAGTTGTATGAAATAATCATGTCAGGAAGCTTATAAAACGAAACTCTTTCTATATCAACGTTGTTTATTGAAAGAGTGAGTGAAGCTTTTCATCTTAGTAGAGTTTAAAAATAAAATCCAGAGACATTTGTTTATGTTTCATTCATATCACACCAGAGAACAAGCTCATTGATACATTTTTGAGGCTCCAATATGCTTGTAACGCAGAAGACATCGTCAGCAAACAGACAAGAAAGAAGAGAAGGTTTGAGAAATGGTGCAGATCATTTATTAACTTTCATAAAACTTCTTTTTCTTCTAGAGAAAAAACCAAATAAAAGCACGTAGTAAATGAAGAAACCTCAAACCGCGAAAACAAGCTAAGATCTAAAACTACTACAGTGTCTTTTAACACGCACAGATATTCTGATTGTTCTTATATTTTTTTCTGAATTTTCTCGTTTTGAATGTTTTGTTATGATTATTGATATTGAAAAATTTCAGTTGACAACCAGAAGCGTCTCTGCAATCGAATCATCATATCAGTGGAGAAAAGGGTAAAAAAATATGGCTATTTCCCCACTCTGGTTTGTATATCATTCGATAGAGAATTTTACGGGCTACCGAATGATATATAAGAGAGTCACAAGAAAATATAACGTAGTCTGAGGTTCGAAATACCCGGTAACATCTCAACGAACCGGTAGGTCAACGGCGTCCATGGTTCTAATAGCCATTTACGAAAACGTCGGAATTCTGCTTAATTAGCAATTTTCTCAATCCAAGCTCAACTTCGACGTAATAAAAATATCATATTCGGGATCAGGATCAAAAGCTAAATCGACTGATGTGTGTCTTTATCCTATCCGATTACTTTAATAATTTTTACCTTTTCACGTTGAAAGATCATCGGGACTTTCAGAAAAAAATGGAAACCAAGTAAAAGTGTCGAAATACACTTGTAAGGCGCCGTTTGTAAGGCGGCTTTGGGTCCTCGTGTTTGCGTTTGCGTCTATGATGATAATGTTGATTTGTTTTTGAAAAGTTTGGATAAGTGTATTGCTGGAACAGTTTGTTCATCTCTAGAAACTTTCAATCAGTCGTTGATTTGTAATACAGAGAATGAGGAGTGTATGTTCAGTCAGTGTCCACTTTGTGAAAATTTCTTTCGAGATGACGTTGAACAAAAAGTTATTGACGGTAAAGTTCAGATTAAATGGCTTCAGTGGGTGAACGAAAATGGACGGGCAGAAAAAAAGAGTATTCTGGTAGTGTTGATGAGGCAGTCCAGCCATTAGGAAGTAAAATTGAACATTTTAAATTTCATATGTTTGTTAAGAGAGAACTGTCGAAATATTTTGAAAAACTTAAGGCTGAAGTGACCGATGAAAAACTTGTGTGTCAAGTTGATTTCGCCAAAAATTATGGAATGAAGGAGCAAGATGAAGTTCAGTGCGCACATTGGTACACAAAAACAATGAGTATATTTACAGGTTATGTTCGGTCCAAAAGCGGAGGATTTGGTTTTGCTCTACCCTCGTTAGATGTTACTCACGATAAATTCGTTGTGAATTCAGCTCTGGAATTAATTTTAAATCATTTGAAAACTCTACTTCCAAATTTGAAAGA